CTCTTACCGTCTCCGAACGCCCGAGTCCGGGGCTGGGGGAGGGGAAGAGTGAGCATGCGCAGCAGCCGCGACAGCTCTCCCGCCAGCACTTCCGGCCGCCGCCTGCCTTAAAGGGGCCGCGGAGCAGGGGCTCCTGCCCGCCCGGGCCGGGCGCTCAGTGCTGCCATCTGGCGGCTGGGGTGGCACGAGGGTCTGCACCCCACCGTGAGGCGCTCCTTCTCCCGCCTGCTGTGCCACCCCTTGCTGCGCTCTGCCGCTGGGGTCCCCCGGGTTTTGGCTTCCCTCCGCAGCTGGATGGCATGTGCTAGGCCCCAGGCACAGCAGGAAAGCGTTTGATTGCTGCTCAACTGGAGCAAGATGTGCGTTTCATACCATGGATCCCCTTCCTCACACCATTTTTTATTTCAATTTTACTTTGCTCTGTGCAGGAAACTTATTCACAAGTTGAAGAAAGAACGTTTTTAATAACTCCCGCCCCCCCAAATAAAAAAATTATTGCAAAATTTTGGAGCCCCCTAAAGTGTGGGGCCCTGGGCGGTCGCCCAGTTTGCCCTCCCCTAAGGCCGCTACTGCCTCCAGGATGGGTGGCAGTAGCCCCGGGGCATGCACAACGGGGACGTTCCTGGCATCTGATGAAGTAGGCCTGCGTCTACAAAAGCTTATGCCTTACATAGACTCCTAGGAAGTTAGGGATGGAAGGGACCTGAACCGTCTGGACGATGCCGCCCTGCCCTGGCTGCTGCCTTGGTGCAGACTAACACGCCTAACCGCTCCTCTCGCCGTTTGGACAGTGAGACCAGTTCCTGCCCTTATAAAAAAGGCTTTCTCCTTTTCTTTTGTGCTGCCTCACTTCATTTTGGCAGCTGGGTTACGTGGATTAAAAGTCAGGCAACACATTTGGGCCCAGGACTGCGGAAAGTGGCAGAAACCAGTGCACACAGACTGGCCTCTGGCTGCTTTGCCCCTCCATCCAGGAAGAGAGCAGACCATCTGCAGATGCTTCCTCAGGCTGATGGAGGGTGTTTGTGCCTGAAAGCTTGCTAAAATGAATGTTTCCAACTTTTTTAGTTGGTCTAATACAAGATACAGGATTTACCCAAAGAACTTTGTCTGCCTCTGTCCTTACACCAACGCGGCTACAACCTACACCCCAGAAACCAGTCAAGGCTTTTCCTGAAAATATAGATCCATGTTGTTGTACTGCCCGTAAGCACACGATGGCGCCAAGGGCTAGGCCTGTTGGTGTGATGATCCTGGTGCCAGGCCAAGCCTCTGTCCAAGCAGAGTTGAGTTCTGCTCAGTTGATATGACTTGGAACTGATTTTGGCTGATTTGACCTGGAACACAAAATATATTAATAAAAAAAAAATCTATCCAAGTACAGAATTTTGCAGCCGATAGCTAGTGAACCTGGGAGCTGCTGTTTCAATAGATGTGAAGCACTAAATACTGAATACGAGAGGGTGGGAGCAGGAGCGGGTGAAATTTTGATTTCCCAGTTTTTTATCTTTTAAAAAAAAACAACTGCTTCCATTTACTTTCAAAGGCTTGTGTATGCTCAGAAGCTTTAAAATTCGGGTTTCAGATGTCTCACACTGAGTTCCCAATAGCAGGGCCATGCAAAAGCAGTGCCTAGTGCTAGAATCAGGATTAGGACTTGGTGCACCTGCACGAGACGCTACTGCATGGTAGCAATGAGCAGTGTTGGCAGGCACTAACTGTGCAGTGATGACACTGTGCAGTAGTAACAAGCTACTGCACAGTAGCTCATTGCTACTGTGCGAAAGCATCTGAAAAACAACGTGGCGATGGTACTGTGCAGTAATGCCTGTCACTGCACAGTAGATGTAGTACTTGCTTATGCATCCGCACAGTCTGCTGCTTGTGTGGATGTGGCCAGAGTTTCCCAGTTCCCAATCACATGCTTCAGGCCCTGGCCCCCTCAGACTTCCACAGTGTCTCTTTTATCCCTCTTTCACTAAAGCACTGTATCTGTGTGTTGCCAATGCTCTTTGCAGGCTGCAGACATCTTGATGAGGTGTGTACTGGGATGGAAAGGCACCATTGCTTTCCTGGTGGAGGCACAGGCTTCGGTTGCAAAATTTGGACTTGGATCCCGGTGCCTTCCCAAAGGTGGCTGGGCAAGAGAACATAACAGAACAGCTACCACTGACTGCATCAGATCCAGTCTGCTTTGCCCAGTCTCCTGTGCCACACAGGAGCAGACAGCAGCAGCTGAAAGGGAGAGCCAACTGGGTCTGGCTAGGGCTTTTCCCCACTGCTCCTCTCTCACTTGCAGCCTCCAGCACTGACGGTCTAGGGAAGTTCTTACCTGGCAGGGAAAACACCATGACCACCAAGGTGGTTTTCTGTAAGCACACCCAGGGAAAACTGCTCTGCTGGCATGGGGGTAGTGGTGTATAGTTAACCTTAGCTTTATGCCGACTTGATGGAAATGGGAGACACCTCCCTGGCTTGCTCCTGGCACCTTATGGCTAAGCTCAAGCAAAACTCGGGAGCCCCCAAGCCTCCAGGCCTGGGCCTGCACGTAGGATGCCTGCCAAAGGACTTGGAAACATCTGAAGCCCTAGGGGGGATGGAGGATGTCTGCGGGTAGTAGGGCCACTCATGGTTCTCGACTGAGTCACGGATTTGGAATGGATTTGGCTAACTTGACTTGGAACGTGAAAAATGTTCATTACCAAAAAAAAATAAGGTTCTGATTCAGACGCCTGCCCCTCTCTCCCGCGCTCAGTAGCTCCTGATGCCCCTTTCCTCCATCCCTTGGGTGGCATCCGTGCCATCCTCAGCCCTTGGGGATGCCCTAGGAGGCGGTGTCGGTGTCGGTGTGGGAGGCTTCTAGTTTAAACCGCAGCCCCGCAGCTCCAGGTCCTCTTCCAGCGCTGCCCCTCGCCCGCACCTGCCCCGGCCCCGCACGCGGGGC